GACATCAGCATCTCCCACAGCCCTTGGTACTATAACCACAGCTGGTGGGACATCAGCATCTCCCTCTACCTGGAGTTCCTGCATCCCAAATGAGAACTGGGTTTTACTATGTCTACATGCCCACGGTGTAGTCCCTGAAGCAACACTCAGAGGCAGTTGGATTTTTCCCTTTCCCAGTGAAGAACCTGAGGCCTGGAACCATTAGCCTACAATCATAGTCTCTCAGGAGTCCATGTAAGAGTGAATCTCAAAGTCCAGAGACAAGGCCTGGCTTCTCTTCTCCCTGGGTATGCTACATGTGATCCCCTTCAGCCCCAGTGCATAGCAGACAGCCAAGTCAGTTCTCACCTGTTTTCTCTGTCTTTGTGGTCATTCACCTGCCCTGTGCCACTGTCCCCTGGCCCGAGCAAGAAAACTGAATCCTCACTTCACAATGTGGCCCAGAGAACTAAGTGAACCATCGACTATGAAAATCCATATTAGAGGGGCCCATCTTCTTGTTAGATGAACTGATATCAGACCTCTAAAGATACAAGGTGACAGTCTGTCTCTCAAAGTCAAGGCCAGCTGTGACTGCCCCTGGTCAGCTCTTTTGGTCATGTATCTGTGAATTGGCCCTTTCTGCAGAGGGTGAGGTACCCCAGGCTTCTGGACCAGTTGAATGCTAGGAGCACACACTAGAAATTGTGCCAGACCCTTCCTTTTTCCCTCCAGGGCCATGGCTCCCAAATGGCCAAAGCAAATAGAGGAAAACACAATACTGGGCCTACTGCCCAGAGCCATCTCTCTCGTCATTGCCTGGCCTCCTGAAGCGGGCATTGTCTTTCTCACTGTCTGCCCCTTTGACTGCTTCCAGCCTTGGAGCTTTATGTGTATCAAGTAATCGTTTCCTTCTTTTGCCTTGAGGAGGATGCTATTTGTGTCTCCACATTATAGATAAACAAAGTGAGGCCTTGTAAGATTAGGAAACTTGGCCAAGATCACACACCACCAAATGGCAAAGCCAGGTCCAATCGCAAAGCCTGTGTTTATAATGCTCTGCTGTCTCGTCCCTTGTATGGCACATGGGGCTCAGAACACGTAAGCAATCTTACTCAAGAAGGTGTGTCTCCAGACTATATTAAATTAACTGCTACTGTAACCTTCCCTGGGATGGCTCAGACCCTACTCCTCAATGTTTTATTCATGTGTTTGTCTGCTTGTCTATTCATATGATTAACCGGAACATGTTTCCTCAGATTTGAATTTTACTTCTGTGAATTTTCAAAAGATCTAAAAGCAACTTCATCCACAAATGAGATGTTTGATTCTTTTCCCAGAAGTCCCAGGCTTGGCCAGGCAGCTCCCAATGTCTGTCCATCTGCCGTGTCTCAGGCAGGGTTCATGAAAATCTGAAGTGGATCCTCTGGTCTAAGGGTTCACCCTATGAGGATGCATGGGGACCAAAGGTCCCAGCTACTGCCCTCTGGGTACCAGACAAGACCTCCTACAACCTGCCAGGCCTCCTACAACCATTCAGGTTTTCTTGGACTGCCTGGGGGAAAAAAAAAACAGGTCTATGTGTAGCTCAGGACACTCAGGTGCGCTTGTCTCTAGCCAGGAGACTTAGGGGGAGCCCCATCATCTTCCAATATCACAATCAGGCTATGTGGTCTGTGACACCAAACATGCCCCCCCCCATCCATTCCTTTCATTGTAATTCCTGTCCCTCCTCCCATGGCCTTTGACTGCCAAAAGCCAACAATTAGCATATGAGGCATAAGCTCTATAAGGGCCTGATTGTGTTTATCAACTCCAGAGTGACTACAGTATAACATCCATCATTGCCTCGCTCTGCCATGTAAAATGATTTACTCCACAACCATGTTGTGAGTTAAGTACTGGGCCTTTCCCCCATTTTCACCTGAGGAAATTGAGGATGGGACTTCCGGGAAAAGAATGAAACATCTCATTTGTGGATGAAGTTGCTTTTAGACCTTTTGAAAATTCACAGAAGTAAAATTCAAATCTGAGGAAACATGTTCCGGTTAATCATATGAATAGACAAGCAGACAAACACATGAATAAAACATTGAGGAGTAGGGTCTGAGCCATCCCAGGGAAGGTTACAGTAGCAGTTAATTTAATATAGTCTGGAGACACACCTTCTTGAGTAAGATTTGTGTGTGTGTGTGTGTGTGTGTGTGTGTGTGTGTGTGTATGTACGCACGCATACACACGCACGCGCGCACACTCACGCATGCATACGAGTGCCCATAGAGAGGGCACTGGATTCTGCAGAGCTGGAGTTACACTCAGTTGCCCAATGCAGATGCTGGGAACTGAACTTGGATCCTCTGAAGATCAGCAAACACTCTGCCCTGCTGAGTCACACCTCTAGACCCCTTCTTTCTGACCTTTTACATTCCATTCCCAAAGCAAAGCAACGACATACTTGCTTCTTGAACCACTTAGAAACTACACAAAACAGAGTATCTCCATCCATAAAATTAATCTTCATGTTTCTGTATCTTGTATTTGTATGTGTGTGCATATAAAAATAAGTATGGTTTTAAAGCCCATTTCTCCAAGTTTCACTTAAACACAGCCATCTTTCCATTCCACTAATATTTAATTGTTCTCCCTCAATCTATTTTTCATAACTGCATAAGGCCATATTATTTGGAGGAGGCACTATTTAACTAAGCCCTCATTTCTGGCCATTTGTTACCTACAGTTTGTTATGGTGGTGTAATAAGCAATGCCATGGTGGAGGTCCTGCACCACCTCTTTGTTCTGTCCAGTTCTGGAAATTGAGCCCTGAAAAGCAGAGCTGCAAGGTTAATTATACAGCTTTTTGTCCATGATCCTGGGCTCTCATGGGGTATATTTTGAAAATTCAGGGCTCCACTGTCAGCTAGCTAAGTGTTCCTAGTTGAGAGACTAAACAAAAGTATGCCGTCTATTGTTTTAGTGTTCTGAAAAACCATGTCCAGTTTACTTATTTTGAACCTCGGGGAGCTTTTGGAGTCTAAGGTTTAGACCTGGTAGGAAAGCTCTTTCCCTAACCGTCCATGGGGGAACAGGGGGATCCTTGGACTCTAGGGAAACCCCTCCCACACAATTACCTCCTCTCCAGGCAGGCACCCAAACATTGCAAAAGGAAGCAATTCCGTGGTACTCACATTCGTCATGTGACCTGGCACAACTGTCCAGGGGACCATAGCAAGGATAAGTCCTAGGCAAGCAACCTCTTTAGGTGGTGCCCCCTCTTCAGACTCAGAGAAACTTCAGACTCAAATGGCATCTGGAGGAAGTGAAAAGTCAGGAGAAAGAAGCAGAGCTGGGAGGCAGAGGGAAGTATTAAAGACAGCTTGCATCGATTTTCTTTCACCTGTCCCATCAGAGAAATGGTTCAGCTGTTTCCAGAACTTCATCAGGAAAGAACTGCC